TGCCGGGGGGGGGGGCCCCCCCAAGGTTCCCCTTTTTCCCCTTCGGGCCCTTCCCAAAAACTTACCCCCTTCCTTGTTTACCTCCCGGGAGGGGGGGGTTAAATTTCCCCCCCCCGGGGAAATTGGCCTCGAGGAAATCCTTATGGGGGAAAAACCGGATTTAATTGAGTTTTGGCCCCCCAATTGGGACCTTCCCCCCCAAAAGTGTTGGTTTAAAAAACCCTTTTCACGGGGTTGGCCCCCCCCCCCCCCCACCCCCCGCCACCCGCCACCCGCCACCCCCGGGCCGCCCCCTGGGCCCCTCCCTTGGGGGGTGCCCCTCCCGAATGCCCCCCCCCCCCCCCCCCCATGCTGCGTCTGCCATCTGATGCCATGGCCATTTCTCTGCCTGCCGCCCCCTGCCCCCCTCCCCCAAATGTGCTGGTGCCAGCGAAAAATAGTGCCTAGCTGTGCACTGTTGCATTCCCATCCGAGGTGTCGTGTCGCTCCCTCGAGTCCCGGACCGCGCAAGCAGGTTGGCATGCTCACCTGCTGATAGAAGCGCGGGGACCCCAGCCACACATCTAAAAGACTGTGTTCGCGACGTGTGTGTGTGTGTGTGTGTGTGTGTGTGCATCCGTCTTACTCTACGTAAGTGTGCGCAGCGCCGCGCAGCGCGCTCTTTATGTGTCGTCACCAAGACATCGAAGAGCGAAGCGAGGCGGCTGGCCGAAGGACGGGTAGTCGTCGGGCGAAGCGAGGCGGCTGGCGCCGGCCCCGGAGGCGGCTGCAGGAAGAGCAGCGAGGCAGAAGTCACTGTCCAAGGCGTACTGAGCAGGCTGCCATCGAGCAGCGCGCCATGCGGGTCTGCCGCCGGCGACGAGATTGGAGAGCCGACAGGCATCGAAGAGGTAGGTACTGAAGAGGCCATCGCGCCCGAGGCGGTCCGCGCCGGCCCTGCAGCCTGGGGTGTCGACGGGCCCCCGGGGGCGACGGGGGTGCTCTCCGGCCGCGGCGGCCGAAAACGGGGGTCGGTAGTACGGTGTAGTAACGAAGTGATCCACTTGATCCAAGGGTGCCATTGTGCTCTACTACAAAAGTTGTGTAAGATGCCAAAGTCTCAGACGCTGAATCCTTAGCGGAGCTGAGTTCTGACGGTGTGAACACGAGCAACCGGAGTGACGCCCGGGACCGGGCCGCACGCCGGGAGTGCCCCGACTAGCAGTGACGGGCGCGGACGAGCGAATGAGAGGTCGCTATCTGTGGGAGATGTGTTTTTAGAGACTAGGACTGCCTATCTCTCACTGAAAGGAACCTCTCATTCGCTCGTCCGCACCCCCGTCACCGCTCACGGAGTGCTCCGCGTGCCGCACCGGCCGCCGCCGGCCGCCGGCCGCTCACGGTAACGGAACAGTGTTACTACTCCGCAACGTTGAGCTGGATCAAACTGAATAGTGCTCCTGAAAGCCCTCTCTCTGGGCTCTGCCACACAGTAGCAGCTCACGACTAGCAGCTGTTGTGGCTGTATTTGTAGCCATTTTTAGGGCTTCAACTGGTCCCAAAATAGTAGCAACACCTCATGAAAATCAGTCAAAAAAGCCCGAAAAGTCGGCGCCTGCGGCGGGCCTCCTGGGGCGCCGCCCCAGACCCCCTTGATTGGGGGGACCCCCCCCCAAGAGCACCCCCGTCGCCCCCAGGGGCCCGTCGACACCCCAGGCCCTGCAGGCCGTCTCAGAGAGCCTGGCGAGGCTGTACAGAATGCCAAGAGCATACTGGGCAGGCTGCCGTCGAGCGACGAGCCATGCTGGCTCGTCGCAGGCGATGAGGTCGAGGAGCCGATCGGAGCGTCGCAGAGGCTGCCGACCACTGCCGTTCGCCCTCGGGCCCAGGGGTGGAAGGCAAGCTTCCTGGCGTTTCTGGCGAGCGTCCAGACGTCGCAGAGCATCCGGCAGGCGCGCAGCGACCCAAATTTTTGCTCACCGCACGGCCGTGCGAGCCGTCGGTCGGTGGTGATGGTCGGCGTCGGCGCGCGCCGACCGACGCGGCGGCGGTGGGCGTCATGTGGCGGGCGTCGGACTAGACATTGTGCGATTTCGGCGGTACGTTGTTTTTTCATCGTGTAGACTGTCGACGCGTGCCGGATGGAGTCCGGCCGCGGGTGACTAGGGAAGTTCGCTCAGGATGTGTGGCAGCCGCCCCGTTGGCTGAGTGTCTTGTCTTGTGGTTCTGTGTGTCGCTCCTGTGTGTGTGACCGTCATCGACCGTCCTGCGTCCACCCATACCGCGTTGGTGTCCCAGTCGTTGGTCGGACTGTGTGTCGCCTTCCCATCAATCAATCAATGTAGAGTGCGTAGACCGTGTACGGATACGCAATCGGCGATATTGGGATTGCACGAAACGCAAAACATGCAAGACACAAAAGCACGCAACGAACTCTCTCGACAAGTCGATGCACGATGGCGCTCTCCCTCGCCGGACGCCGCCTCAGTCGCCAGCTGCAGCTCCCGCACCGGCAGCGGCACCCCTCCCCGCCTCGACCCCTCGACTCCCCCCGCCCCCCCGCCCCCATGCCCTAGCCCAATGCCCCGGGCCACCACACCCATGGCCACAGGACACCCTCGAGGCCACACTGCCGCTCAACGTCACCGCACCGCGGCGCACTCTCGCAGCACGCAGCTGACAGTCTCTCGGACAAAGTCAAAGAGACGACAGAGCCTCTCCGCGACCGAGACCGACACACCGCACACACCGGCTCCGCTCCTCTTTCTCTGCATCGACCATCGTGCATTATTGCAACATGCTCGATGGCATTGGCATTCACTCATTCGGGTTTACACACCATCCGGCGGAATTTGGTGTGCCACACTGCTTCAGCAGCGCGCACCTCGACACCAGTGAGGGTGAACTTTCTTTTCTAGACGGCTAGGATTGAGAGCAGCCTCGCTCTCAATCCTAGTACCTAGAAGTCGAAGGATTGTGAGCAGCACTCCTCGCAATCGTAGCATCTCTGTGCGATTGTGAGCGCCTACGCTCGCAATCCTACATCTTCTAGGACTAAGAGCAGCTCCGCTCCCAAGGTGACTGGTGACGCCTACGACTACTACCAGCGCGCTCGCAATCCGAGCAAAGTCTAGGATTGCGAGCAGCACGGCTCACAATCCTAGCAACATGCCTCCGATTGCGAGCAGTAGCCATCGCAATCCTACATCTTGTTACTTGTATGTAGGACTATATGAGCGGCTGCGCTCACAATCGTACCCAAGATTCAAGGATTGCTTAGTAACGCGCACAGAGGGCACTCCCAATCGCTCCAGCCGCGAGCGCTTGTGAGCACGCTGGGACGGTCTCCTCACAATCCAAACAGTGATCCCACCGATTGCGAGGGGACCCGCTCGCAATCCTAGAAGATGTAGGATTGCGAGAGCGTAGGCGCTCACAATCCTCAATCGCACAGAGATGCTACGATTGCGAGGAGTGCTGCTCACAATCCTTCGACTTCGAGGATTGAGAGCGAGGCTGCTCTCAATTCTAGCCGTCTAGAAAAGAAGGTTCACCACCAGCAGTGAGGAGGGAGGGCGAGACGATCGAGCGAGGGGTCCCGTACCATGCGGAATCGACCCTATCCAGTGCTCAAGTGCTCAAGTGTGCCACAGGCTGCGTCCTATTGACCTCGCATTGATCGAAAGTGATGAGTTTTACAATCCGAGCTCGCCGTGTTTGCTTATAGTTCGGGGGAGCGTTTGACGAAGTGCGGGTTGCTCCCCGGGCTCGGAAGCAGAACAGGACCCCCCGCGCCACATGCTTCCTCGCCGAACCCTCTTTCCATTTGCAACGTCGCTGCCCGCAAACGGAGGTTACGGCAAGCCTCTGCTATCTTCCCCTCCGATTGAGGCCAATCATGTGTGCACTGATCGCGATGCGGACGAGGCGGCTTCCCAGAAAAAGAGGTGCGCGCAATGTGGCTGCGTCTGCGGCAGCACCATTTTCATGATGTTTGACCGCCCGTTTTGCTCCCAGAAGCACCGGCTGGACGGCTACACGATGTCATGCAGAAAGATCGACTCAAAGGAAAATATTCGAGGTGGGGGACCCCCACTCACTCGTCACCCGAGCATGAGCTGCCTGCCGGCCTGACTGGAGCGAGATAAGATGGGCGATGGTGTGCTCCTATCACGACTGAGTAGCTTCTCCCGCGTGGAAGCGCCACATTATACCGAAGACAGAGTGTATCGTGTGTGGGGTTTCCCGCGTAGAGGGTAGAGCTAGAGGTGAGGCGTGTGTTGCTGTTGGGCTTGTTGCGTTCAACAGACAAGGCTTCAGAGCGTGCCGAGCACGCACGCATGCAGCGCCTCTCTCTCTCTCTCTCTCTCTCTCTCTCTCTCTCTCTCTCTGTGTCTCTCTCTCTCTCCCACTGCATGCAACCGCAGCCACAAGAGGGAGAAGAGAGAGAGAGAGCGACAGAGAGAGCGCGGAGAGACGAGAGAGAGAGAGAGAGAGGAGAGAGAGAGAGAGAGAGAGAGAGAGAGAGAGAGAGAGAGAGAGAGAGAGAGAGAGAGAGAGAGAGAGAGAGAGAGAGAGAGAGCCGAGATCAGAGTGTGGCGTGTCGGGTGTGTGCATCGCGGTTCGCGGGGTGTGTGTTGCGGCTTTATCGTGACGAGACACCAAACCATCACCACGCATTCGCATACTGACGTACAATACATAATCTCAACGTACCGGCCGCCACGGCAAACCCTCGCGAGCCAAATCCCCGCCCCGCCACACATGTGCATGTGCATGTGCATGCAGCACGTCTGTGGAATGCCAGATAGAGCTCACAGTGCGGCGCGCCTGCGCTCTGTCAGCCCTGACGTCAGCCTGTCGTTGAGGATGAGTAAGAGCAGCGTCTGCGGTCCCTGCCTGAGGTAGTTTGGAAGCCAGCCACGGAGCAAGCCGGCGAACCCTTCCGACCGGACGATGGCCGCCATCGCGGCGGAAGTGCCTCCCTGCAGCACGCCGCCGGCCTGGCCTCCGCTCGCCGCGGCCATCGCGCGTGTCTTGACGACGTCAAAGGGCGAGGTTGTCGTGGTGGTGACGAGCCCAGCGAGCATCGAGGCGGTCAGCATCGTCGGAAGCGCGGCGGGCGAGGCGCCCGTGTGCCTCGCGAGCAACTGCTTGATCTGGTCGTAGGTGGCGAGCTGCGAGGCGGTCAGCACCGCCGAGCGCTGCATGGAGGGCGCAGTGCCCGTCCAGAGGCTCCGCACGCCGTCGCGGCGCACACCCTGCAAGAGCGACGCCGCGCCCCCTGCGCCGCTCGACGCCTGAAGGCGCACCTGAGCGCGGGGATGGGGAGTGACTCGTCCCGTTGCCGCGCTCGGCTCGCGAGTGAGCGGTGTCTTGGAAGCGTCTGGCAGGCGCGTGCGTCGCCTTGAGGAGCTCGAGCGGGTTGGTGATGGCAGCGGCCGCGGCGCCGGAGCTGATTCCCGCGGCTAACTTGACTCCAAAGCCGCCACCGCCACTGCCGCCGCCGCTGGTCGCCGCCAGCCGCGCCTTGACTGGCTCGTACATCCCCAGTCTGAGGCCGCCGTATGTGAGGCCCCGCAGCATGGCGAACCCGGTCCCCTTGGTGAGGCTTCCCGGGCCCTCAGCCGCGACGATGTTGCGAAGCACGGGCAGCGCGCCCGACGATCCGCCACGCTGCCGCTCGAGCTGGAGGCGGACCTTGACCACATCAAACGGGTTGGTGCACGCCACCGCTATAGAGGCAGCGCCGCCCCCGCCCAGAATCCGCTCCGAGACGGTTGGCTGACTGTCATCAGACATTCCAACTCAGCTCTCGACCCGATGTGGCAGAGATGAGCCGAGATCCAGCCGAGATCCAGCCGAGCTGCAGCCGAGCTGCAGCCGAGATGTGGCAAGCACAACCGCGGGGCGGGAGGGGCGCGCGCTGCTCCCAACAGCTCTGGACTTGCCCCAAGGCCCAAACAGCCCTGGACTAGGCCGACGCGGTGTGGAAGTCTGCAATGTGAGCTTCTTCGTTCTTGTTCCTTTTCCACCTATTTTTAATTTTGTCCTTAGCGGCGGATCGAGCTGCCAGATCAGGGTGGGTGCGCCGAACGGAGGCGCACCCGGCGCTAACCCGAATGTAACCCAAGCCCAACCCGAGACTAACCCGGCGCTAACCCAGCCAGCGCTAACCCGCGCTGCTCGGGGGCATACGTTAGGACGAGTTAGTGCTGGGTTAGTGCCGGGTTAGCGTCGGGTTGTGGTCACCCGTTCTGACCCGTGCTGACCCGTGCTGGCTTAGGTGGTGCTTAACCCGGTGGAACCCGCGCTAACCCGCGCTTACCGATAGACTCACCCTGGGTTGCATCCGCGTCCACAGAATTCGCCGACAAGCCCGAAGGTGGTGTGTGCCCGCTGCTGATGAAACTCGCCCAACACGAAGCGGCGGCGCCACGGCAGAGGCTGTCGCTGAGCGCGTCCAAGAAGCGGGCGCTGGAGGCGGCCTTTGACGCCGAGAGCACGCCCGGCCTCGAGGAGAGGAAGCGGATTGCCGCCGCCGTGGACATCACACCGCGGCAAGTGCAGGTCTGGTTCCAGAACCGGAGGCAGCGCACCCGTGGAGGCACGTCGCGCCAGCCGTCGCCGCGGACGAGCAAGCCCGCCCCGCCGAGAACCACAGCGGTCCCGACGAGGTCCGCAGCGGTCTCCAAGGCAGCTCCGCCAGCCGAGGCGCCGACATCGGCTCCGCAGGTTCCCGCCGTCTCATCGGCGCGGCCGTCGCCAGCCACCGTCGAGTCCGCTGCAGTTCCCGCGAGGCCCTCGCGGCCCCCCGCCTCCTCCTCCAAGGGGCCGTCTCCCCCCGTCGTCGAGGCGCTCATGGGCTTCCTCTGCCACCAGCTCGAGCTGCAGGCGATGGACTTGTGGTTCTGCGGCTCCGGCCACATGGAGCTGCGGCAGGTGTATGCACCGGAAGGGGCCTCGGTGCTCAGCCAACTGCTGTGGTGCCGCGCCGTCCTCTCAACACAGCTCCTCGACGCCGTCTCTGCGCAGGGCCGCGCCGTCTGGTTCGGAGCGAGCCCGGAGCAGGCCTCGCTGCTCTCGCGCGCCGGCGGCGGCAAGGCCGTGATCGGCGTGCCTTGCCCCGAGTCGCCCGCCGCCTGTGCGGCCGTCGGCCCACCGACGAGGCCTTCCAGCGGCGGCGTCGCGGGCGTGCTCCTGCTCTACTGCTCGCACGCACTCGACCGCACGCCGCAGCTCGCCCACCTGCTCAGCGCCTTTGGCTCGGCCGTCGCCGCCGCCACCGCAGCGGCGCCTGCGGGCGTGGTGCCGCGCCGCGGCTACTCGCTGCACCCTGTGGAGGCCGAGGCGTCCGGCCCGGGCTGGCTGCTCCTCGCCGCTGCCCTCGCGGCCGATGCCGAGGCTCGTCGCCACCGCCCTCCCTCCGCCCTCCCTCGCCACCGCCCTCCCTCGCCACCGCCCTCCCTCGCCACCGCCCTCCCTCACCACCGCCCTCCTCGCCACCGCCCTCCCTCGCCACCGCCCTCCCTCGCCACCGCCGCCGCCGCCACTCTCCCCTCTCCCTCGCCCCCTCCTCTACGTCTTCTCCCCTCGCTCCCTCTCCCTCCTCTCCCTCTCGCCCTCGCCCTCGCCCTCGCCCTCTCCCTCTCTCTCGCCCTCTCGCCCTCTCCCTCTCGCCCTCTCCCTCCCTCTCGCCCTCCCCCTCTCCCTCTCGCCCCGTCCTCGGGGCCGCCGAGCCCACGAGTGAGCCCCCTCCCTCTCCCGTTGCGAGTGAGCCCCCTCCCTCTCCCGTTGC